AAGAAATATGTGAAAAATGACTAAAATGAAAGGAAATAAAAGTTCAAGAACTAACATGGAAATACATAAAGTTGTATCGAACCAAATGATGAAGATTTGAGAGTGTTAGAAGTCAATTGAATGTAGAAAGACATCAAAGGGATGAAATATCGTCAAAGTATGATCACACATAATTTCCAATCGAAAAGTTATACACCAATTTTCAGCCTCATATTGAGACACATTTTGGACATGAAAAATGATCGAATTGGAAGATGATATCTGAAGCAAAGTTGTAGCCTTTGAATTATCTTTCCAACACATGTTGAATTTTCTCAATCGGATATCGGGAAAGAAAGATATGATCAAAATACTGAAATATGTCCGGCAGAAAATTACTAACACTATGCGGTCGTATAGTGTTAATTTCTTACGACCACATAGACCGTTACTGATAGTTCTACGGTTGAATTTATTTGCTCTATGCGACCGCATGACTTTATACTATGCGATCACATAGAAGACTTCCGACACAAAAATTCTATTTTCCGAATTTAAGTCAACTACCTATGAAAACAACTATAAATACATATTTTAAAACCCTAACGCCTCAAAACTCCTTTCTTCATTATTTCTCTCTTATATTTATGAATTGTAACTAAACTTTTACATTTGGTCGAAGGAAACGGAAGCCTCGGAACCACATATTGTGAGATCTAAATAGTTTTTCTTATTGTTTGATTTATATTTTACGTATTGAATGTTCTTCCCCATTTATTCCTATGATTTGTTGCTTTTAATTGCTAGAGAACCCTCTACTTCATTGATTGTAACAATAAATCGCTAAGTTAAACATCAAATCCATAATTGTTTGATCCATTTAACTTGTGAAGCACTAGGATTTGATGACTTTCTGTCGTAGAGGTTATTGAATTTTAAGAAAAATATTTAAATAGATTGAATGCAACCGCTGGTGATTGTGTTATCTAATTCATCAATTTCTCTATTGTGTAGAGCTGTTATTAAATTGAATCTTGAGCGCTGGTTTGGGTTATTTAATAATTAGGGTTAATTAGAGCGATAGTTTCTAACTAACTAAAATTAAAGAGAAATATGAATCAATTCCAACGATGAATTTTCAAATTATAAATTGAATTATCATTGCATCTATGATCAATCGTGGATTTTCGACAGTGGATGTGGCCGTAGACCAATGTTAGTCTTTTGATTATTTTCATTGATTTGATTATCTTNACCAATGTTAGTCTTTTAATTGTTTCGTTAATTTAATTTTCGTTGTTATTAATTGCGTTATTTATAATTGTTTGCATAAAAAACCCTCAATCATTGTACGAATCATAATATATTGAATTACACACTCTTTGTAGGATCGACCATTACTTCCACCACTACATTAGTTTTAAAGGTTAAGGAATTACTTTTGGGTGCCTGCAACAGCACATACCAAATTTTGGCGTTGTTGCCGAGGAGTGATGCTAATTTATTTTTTTTGCTTTTTTAGTTTTTTTTAATTTAAAAAAAATCATAATTTTCTAAGTTTTTAGACAATTTATTGTTTTTAAGAATTTTAGCATAGAATTTTATTTGTTTTTCTTACTCTACCTTCTTTTTAATGTTATATTTGTTTATGCCCGCAACTCGATCTTCTAGTCAAGGTGAATTGCAGTATAATCAGGAATTAGAAAGAACATTGTGCAGATTAATGAGTGGCAATATGTGGAATTTTATAGTGAACAATTTTGATCACGAGGCCCTATTCCCTGGTGATTTTGAATCAAAGAAAGAGGAAATTGTGGTTGAGAACAATCGAACTTTGAAGGAGCTTGCAGCCCCTAACTTGAATCAACAACGTCTATGCATTACTCTTCCTAATTTA